CACTGCACAGGTAGGGACGGGCCCCAGAGACTCGCAGTGCCTTCACCCTGACCTTCTGTTCACTCCCATGTGTCTGTGTGTCTGCAGGTTCCCTGTCCCAGCCTGTGCTGACTCAGCCGCCCTCTGTGTCTGCATCTCAGGGAACAACTGCCAGACTCACTTGCACCGTCAGCAGTGACATCATTATTGACAGCTACTACATCAACTGGTACCAGCAGAAGCCAGGGAGCCCTCCCCAGTATCTAATGGATTATAAATCAGACTCAGACAACCACCGGGGCTCAGAGGTCCCCAGCCGTTTCTCTGGATCCAAAGATGCTTCAGCCAATGCAGGGCTCATGACTATCTCTGGGTTGCAGCCTGAGGATGAGGCCGACTATTACTGTAGTTTGTGGCACGAAAACAGTAAAAGTTACACGGTGCTTCAGAGTCACAGGGAAGTGAGACTAAAACCCTCCCTGTGCTCTTTCTGCCTGTGGCTTTCACTGCTTATCTGCTGGAACTTGTCACTTCTTAGGTTGGCAACTCTTTTCCTAGCACCCATTGATGTGCAATTATTTTCTTATTGTCCGTAGTTTAAAGTTTTGTGTCTCTCTTGTTAATATTTTCAGCCTGCTCATGCCTACACAGTCCTAAATCAGGCCTCAGGGATACGTAACCCTCCAGAGGCATGATGGACAAGGAAGGAGGGTTTTGAACCCACCCGTGCCCAGCCCAGGGTCCAGGCCTGGATCAGAGGCCTGGGTGGGCTGAGGGCTTCAGGTGGGTCAGGGGGTCGGGCTTGTCCTAGGTCCACCTTTCAGGAAACTGCTACAAGACAAGTTTTATTCTGTCTGCCTGTGCCCATTGTAGGCTGTTTCTGGGTCCTGTTCTCTCCTCCTGGGGCTCGGGGGAAGCAGGTTTTTTAACATGGCTCAGGCTCCATGGATGCTAAGCCAGCAGAATCCGTCCACACTGAAATATGACAGTGTGTGACCTCTACCTGTTCACCAGGATATGAGCAAAAGGCTCCCCCATGGTGTGGCTGGGTGGCTCAGTTGGTGGAGCATCATCCTGTGCACCAGAAAGCTTGCAGGTCTGATTCTGGTCAGAGCACATAGTAGGTTGCAGGTTTGATTGTATGGGAGAAAACAAATCAAATGTTTCTTCATCATATCAATGTCTCTCTCCCTTTCTCTCTCTCTCACTCCTTTTCCTCGTCTCTCAAATCAATGAGCACACTCAGGTGAGGACTTTAAAAGGGGCTCCTCCATCACTAATGCAGTATCTGTAATCTCGACCTTTCTCTTCATCCCACTGTGAGAAGGGTCATGCCCAGATGTCTGTGAGGCTGGAGACATGCAGTTGGATAGATGCACCAAATAAAACATTTCAATGAGGACCAGAGATGAGTGGGGGAGTTATGTCACACAGCAATGGGTCAGGAAGCCAACTCTTCCTGTCTGGGGACAATCATGCCCTGTCCTGGAGTCTTCCTCTCCTCACCCTTCTCTCTGCACAGGTGAGCAGCTCAGGGGCTCCTGGAAATCGTTCCCCGGGAGCACATCCCTGTTCCTCCTTCCCATCCCCTAGCATGGGTCCTACTTTACTTGAGTAAAACAACTCTCTGTATTTGGTTCAAATTCCCTCTGATCTTGGCCTGCTCTGAACTTGTCGGGTATTCCATCTGGGCCTCCCCCCAGGGATCTCACTCTCGTGAGTCTCCAGGTGCCATGGACTCAGGTTTCAAGTCCCAGCCCTGAGGCTCCCTGAGCTGCTGCTGGCTGTCCTCCATCCCGTCTCTCCGCACCACCACTCACCCACTTCATTATCACAGACGCAGCCTCTCGGGGGTGTGGCGCGGTGTTTCTCCAGGAGTGGGACCCCAAATCCATTGAGCTGCAACCACATCTGCTACTCATGAGACTCAGGAGAGCACAGGAGGGCTGTGAATCTGCCGAGCCCTCTGTTGTAAATGTCCCCAATAAAGCCTGATGGGGGACACCACAGGACACTGGGGTGTTTGCATTCGCAAGTGGGGCTAAATGAGGATGATCACCCCTCCGGATTCTGAGTTTGGGAAGCTTCAAGCAACTGAGCCTTCCTTACTTGTCTTGGAGAAACTGTGCTGGCAGCACTTGACACGGATTGTGTGGTGATGAGCTTGTGTCCAGTATCACAGGATTCCCACCCCCTTAGTAATGCTGGGAGTCACAGGGGAGAGACCAGATTTCAGCTCTTTAATGCTCTCAATGATTAGAGACACCTATTGGGTTTTAAATTTATAAAGAAAATGACAAAACCCTCTTCCGCCTGCCTCAGTTCTCCCAGCTGGAGCAGTGAATAGCTCAGGGATCCCTGGGGAATGTGGGGGTGAAGCCGGTGTAGCAAGTCTTGACCAAAAGCCCCAACACCACCCTCAGAGGTGCTTTTAACTGGTCGTCACTCTGCGTGACATATACACTTGGAAGGGTAGTCAGTGCTTTAAAAAGAGTGACCCCATCACACGCACCAATAGGCAAAGCCCAAGGAAGGAGAGAGTCTTAGAAGAAGGATGGGGTGGGGTTCAGGGAGTCACACCCACTGTCAGGTGGATCCACAGCCCCTCACAGGGGCCACTTCGAGCCTCTATGAGCCACTGGTCTGTGTGCACGTTTAAGATCTGCTTTCTCTTGTATTAAGCTTTAACCTCTCTCTCAGGTCAAGAGAGGTATTCAGATTAAGAAACTTGACATTGTTGTGAAATCTAAGATTCCAGGAACTCAAGGTTTTGCAGGGATCCCACAGGTGCATCCTGGAGAAGACAGAACAGTCTCTTCTCTTTCCTGTGTGAACAACTTCCAGGGCCCCTAACTAGTGAGATCCAGAGTGATGAGTAAAACAGTCCAAATCTTGTGTCTCCTCCATCATTTCCAGTGTGGTTGGGGGTGGGGGGTGGGAAGTTAAAATACCTGGAGAAATTGTAACAAGGATCCTGCAGGGGCGCTGTGGGGCTGTCATAAGGAGAAGAGGGGTCTGAACTATTCTGGAAACACACGTGGATGCTCCAGGGATGCGATAAAAATACATTTTTACTTGAAATACTTTAAAATCTTATCTTAATTACAACCAAAATAAAAAATATGCCAATTGTGTAGTTACAGTTCTATATGTGCTTCTTCCTGGCCACAGATTTGCCATGCGAGAAAAATTAAGTGAAATACCAGGACATACGTGAGATGGTGCCTGTGTAGGTTTGGGGTTGAAAGTGGGAAGGGGATTGGGCCAAATATACCAAATCGGTGGGACTGGTGTCCAATCTGGGATTTTCAGAATAAATAGGAATGAGAAGTAGGTATTGGTGAGGGGCACAATGTTGTAATAACAGATAAAAACACAAAGAAGGGGGGTATCAGTCATGCAAATAAATGAAGAAAGTTGCTTTGAGCCGTGCATTGGGTCAGTGGAGTGAGGTCAGGCACCAGGAGGAGCTCCTTAGGAAGCGGCAGGAGAGCTGCAGAGGCAGGCAGGGCCCAGACTGCCGTGATGACTTCTGCTGAGGAGAAGCATAGTCATGGAAGGACCGTCAGTGGGAGTGACATGCACACATTGGTGTCTGCTCACTCCATTTCCAGCTGGTGTGAGAACACAGTGAGCAGGGCAGGGAGACAGGTGAGGGCCTGTCTGTCCATCCTGGAGGAGAAGATAGTAGACAGATCTAGGTGAGTACAGTGAAGATGAAGACAGTAGAGAAGATTCCAGATGGTTTCCCTGGGAAAAATCCTGGCCTAGGGTCTTGCCTGTCTGTTCAGTGTGGGGTGTGGATGGGTCTAGGACGGCTCCATGTTGCTGGTTGGGACGTGGTTGGATGACCATGGTCGTATGCAAGAGGGACAAACATGTGGGAACCGTGGGTTAAGGAAAGTTAATATTTGTGTTTTCATTTCTATTCACAGACTTATTTTTTTAAGTTAAAATGAATTACTGAGTCACAAATAAATGTCATCATGCTCCAGACAACTAGTGCTACAATAAGGGAACAAGAAACTGTCATGGCCGTGGGCACTTGGTTTCTGTGTGGTCCCTGTGTCATGTGTGACTTACTCAGAGGGAAGCACTGAGACTTCACAGGAACACAGTATGCACTTGTGATGTTACTAAATGACAGTGGACATGGCTGGATGGAAAAATGTATGCATGTTTATATATATTTAAATGTATGCAATTCATAAAAATAGCATTATTACCACAGACATTGATTAGGGTAAGGCACTGGGGACATAGCTGTGTTGATATTTCCATAGTGGGGAGAATACGAATCTCTTACACAGTGGGGTCTGGAGAAGGTGTGTGGAGTGAGGCATGTGGGCAGCGTGGGAGGCACAGACAGGGCACCGGGGATGTCAGTGTCATCATACTAAACACTCCGTGGCAAATTCCACACTTCTGTACATCCCCAGAGATCCAGCCCTGTCCTGCAGTGCAGGCCACATTTGGTGCAAGGGGCCCATTCACCATGGTGGACCACTCAGGGGCTGTGGGGACCTGGTTGCATCCTGGGGGGGAAGTGCTGTGACTGTCTCATGTGGATGCTGTCAGGGGGCCGAGCAAGAAGAAACCAGATCTCACTTCTGAATGATTCTGGTCTCTTCCTGGAGACGTCTCCTGTGACTGATTATCAGTGGACCCAGGCCCCATTCCAGGTGACGATGGGACAATTGATGAGGTTTATGGTACTGGGACACCATGGTGGGAAGTAAAGTGTGAGGAGAGAGATAGGAGCCAGCCTCCCTGAAATAGAGGATGTTGAAGGGTCTTTATGCCCTCCACCTGTCCGTTCTCTGGGTGGAGGACACGTTCAGTTGAGGACTCAGGCACCTATATGGTCCCGACAATGTAATTATCTAAAGGGAAGGAGGAGCAGGAGGAGGACCTCATGTTGAAAAGGTCACGTCTTTAGAGGAAGGAGTGAGGGGTGGGGACACCTGCAGCACTGTGAGGGGCCCTGGGGATGGAGGAGCCCCTGCCCAGTGGGTGGGTGGGGTGCCAGGCAGGACTGCAGTCCAGTCCTCACTCTCTCTCTGCTGAGCTCCTGCCTCTCCATTCCAGTCCTAAGTGAGTCTGGACTCTGAAACAGCAGGGGGCGCTGTGGGCCCATCCCTGAAGGTCTGTGGGGGATCTCAGCTGGGAAACCAGGGCCTGAGTCTACTGCCCTCTGCTCTGTGCTCATTGGGTGACATCTCAGGACCTCCTCTCCCTGTGAGGCTTCTGCAGCCCCCACCCCCTCAGCTTCCACCAGTTTTACCCCCAGGGACCCAAAAGGAGGACACAATTTGCATGAAGGGTCATTTCTGCCCTCCCAGGAGAGGAGAATATAAGAGAGACTTTGTGTGGTTCTCTCCCTCATGGGCTCAGAGCAGAGTGTGGGCACCTCCACCATGGCCTGGACCCCTTTCCTCCTTGTTCTCCTTGCTCACTTTTCAGGTGACTGAGGGGACCTGGAGTAGTGACTATGGGACACACCTTGGTCACCTTTTTTCTCTCTGACTGAGAACACGCTGTGGGAAATAACCTCATCTCACATCTGTGTGTCTCCACTCTTCTGTTCCAGGGTCCTGGGCACAGTCTGGGCTGACACAGGAAGCCTCGGTGTCAGGGTCTGTGGGACAGAAGGTCACCCTCACCTGCACTGGAAACAGCTACAGTATTGGAATTTTTGGTGCAGCCTGGTACCAACAGGTTCCTGGTGCTGCCCCCAAAACTGTGATGCTTGGACGTACTCGGCCCTCAGGGATCCCAGATCGGTTCTCAGGCTCCAAGTCTGGCAGCACAGCCTCTCTGACCATCACGGGCCTGCAGCCCGAGGATGAGGCTGATTATTACTGTTCCACATTAGACTATAGTAGGAATCACACAGTGCTCCAGCCCCATAGGAACTGAGACAAAAACCTGCCCTGTTCCCATGATCAACCCATCGTGCCTGCGACAGATGAAGGAGGTGATGTGGCAGCCCCTAGGCAGGGGTGTCCGACATTTTGGCATCTCTGGGCAACACTGGAAGAGGTGGAGTTGTTTTGGGCTGCACATTAAATACATTGAGACACGTAATCACACACGCAAATCTCATAACATTGTAGGTAAATTTATGACTTTGTTGGGCCACATTCATAGCCATCCTGGCCGCATGCAGCCCACAGGCCCCGGTTGGACGCCCCTGCCCAGAACGTCTGACTCCAAGGGTCTGACTTTGTGAGCAAAAACCCACCTAGAGAGTTGGTGGCAGCTGATTCTCCTCATAATGTTCTTCATAACTTTATTAAGATATAACTTGCATTCCATAAGTTTCACCAGTTCATTCATACAATACAACATCATTTAGCATATTTACAGAGTGGTATTACCATCCCATGTTCTAATTTTAGGACATTCTCATTATCTCTCAGAGAAAGTCCCCACCATCAGTAGTCACCCCTCATCACACCTCCGTGGGTGCCAAGCCACTCCCGACGCACTTTCTGCATTTACACGTTCCCTCTCCCAGACACTAATATAGATGGAAGCAGAAAATAGGTGGTCCTCAGTGACTGTCTTGTGTCCTTTACAATTCTTTCGAACCATGTGCTTGAGGTCTAATCTGTGCCGGGGCATGGGTCAGTATCCTTGTTTTTGGTCAAATAATACCACAATGACTGAGCAGGCTGGTGTTTGTTGTCCGTCACCTGCTGATGGGCATGGAGTTGTTTTTGCCTTTTGCCACCTTGCACAGTGCTGCTGGGAACATCTGTGTCCGATTTACTTTGTTTTGACTGGATGTGTGCTCTTGTTTCTCTTGTGCAGACACTTAGAAGTGGAGTTACCGAGACACGTGACGATGTTCTGTTAAGATTGTGAGAGGCTGTTAGATGTTGGTCACTATGGCTGGATGGTTGACTTTTCAACCCGCCAGGTGTCAGGGCCTGATTTCTTCACATCTCCCCAACACCTGTTAACCTGTCTCCCTTTATTACAGCCCTTCTAGTCTGGTGAGTGGTACCTCACAGCAGTTTCAGACAGCAGCACTGATCGACTGCCCTTGTGCCTGTCCCGCCCAGGAATCAAACCTGCAACCCAGGCACGTGCCCTGATCAGGAATCACAGCAGCCACCTTCTTGCTCTGCAGAACGACACCCAACCAACTGAGCCACACTGGTCAGGGCTCTTACTGAGTTTTGAATTGTTTTCCTCTAGTGACCAATGACATCTTTCCATGTGCTGTAGTTATTGTTTTTCTCAAGTTTTGAACGTTCAAGGCTCTACCGTATTTTATCTGAATTATTGCTAGAATGACTCACTCAAACAGTGTTCATCCCTACACAGCAGGAATTAAGAAGAGAATCCCTCTCACAGACAGTGGGATGGGCAGCATTCCCAGGTGAGGACCACAGTACAGGAAAGTCCTGTGGAATCTGCCTGTGATGGGCACTGCATCTGTAGCACTCTCAGGGGCCCTGTGAGCTCCGGGCTCTGGCTCTCACACCTGCCTCACGTTCCTTCCTTCCCAGTTCCTAGAATTCTTTCTCCAGCCTGATGTCCAGGTGTAAACAGAGAGACTGCCACACGTCAGGAACAAATCTGTGTGAAGTCTTCTGGGCACAGGACAAGAGACAATTGGTGATGAGAGAGTTCTAGCAACTGGGCCTGAGCAGACAGAGGGCTGGGGCTTCCCCATGTCATGACCCAGATCCTTCTGCTCCTCACCCTCCTCATTCATTGGACAAGGAGCTTCATTGTGGGGGAGTGAAGGATGTCCCTGGGGGACAGTCTCACTGCCCTTTACTTTTGTCATCTGGACACAAGAAGTGGGTTATTTCAGTCTTCCTACCACCTTCTGTCCCCAGTCCCAGTGTCCTGGGTTAGACAGTGCTAATCCTGCCTTCGTGCACGTTCTCTGGGTGTGTGTGTATGTGCACGTGAGTGTGTCAGGGGGATGATCTCTGACACTGAGTCTGAGCCAGAAGCATAAGGACGCATTTCTGGGAAATCCTCAAGAAGGTCTTCCAGGATGCTCTTCCTATGGAGTGGCCATTCTCTGTCTCCTAGCTTTATTAATAAACTCACTTTCACTTTAAACTCTAAAGAGGAAGGTATTTCAAATACCTGAAATAGAGGTATATAGTCTAATCTAATTCACTAATTATCAAAAAAGCAGAAACCCCCCAACAGGAACAGTCTGAGGTTTCAAAATTATAGGACATCATTTATGAGCATAGGTGGACAAATACCTCAACAAACCAGTAGAACCCATGTTATATCAAGAAAGACTTGCTTGACCACGAGGGAGGACACGGGCTGAAGCTAGGGCTTATGGGATGTTTCTGAGGAAGGGGAACACGGATTTTGGAGGGAGAACAAATATGAAGAAGTCCTGAACCACATGGGAGATGCCCCACTCAGAGCTCTCACAGGTGTTGCTGTGACCCACCATAAGAGGACAAGATGATGTAACCAGACATGATGTCACGGACTCGTTGATACTGCAGCTCATGGTCCATGAAGTGCATCAGCAGGGTTCTTTCAGATGCACAGCTCAGTCCAAAGGAAAGCTCTTACCTGGGTGAGGCAGCATCACCCCAGAGCCACCAGGGGGCGCTGCGCTCCACCTTCCTGCCTTGTGATGGGTTCCTGGGCCCCCCTGGGTTCCTCTCCCATATGCGTTCTAACAACCCTCAGTTCAGCACTTCCTCCCAGTTGCAGCCCAGGTTTCCCCACAGTAGAGAACTGCTTTCAACCCTAGTGTCTCAGACAATTTCCGAAGGAGGCTCAGAGCTCCCTGCAGAGGTCAGGAACCCTGCAAGCAGTGGTGAGGGCCCAGTGAGTTCACCAGGACACTCATGGTCAAGGCTGTGGTTTTTTACTGTCATATATTCTGATTACATGTCTGGCTGGTCCAGTTCCCCCTTATTTCAGTGACAGTAATTCCTACTAACTTCTGGAAACGGATGTTATGTATATATTGAGATATTTCAATTACCTCTCCAATGATTTATTTTTACCTTCAATTTTAGATTCTTCTCCTTTCAAGATGTATACTTGAAAGGATGTATACTCCTTTCAACCTATGTACTTATATAATTGTCTCTATTGCATCCAATACTCATTTGGTTACTATACACATACAGTATTTCAGTAGGAATCATTTTATCTTATGTAAATTGAGCATCATGAACACAATGATGAGAATAAAAAGTACATTCAAATTTCATTATCAGTTTACTGGCAATTAAGAAATAAATATGAAATTACACTTTTGATTTCATACTGTGATGAAAACAATTGAGGGAATTATCTTCACCAAATACTGAAGCAATGTCATCTCCTGCCACCTTCCCTCCCCCCAAGTCTCCCTCCTTCCTGTCCATTCCCTCTTCTCCGCAGCGGATGGTGGGGACCCAGGTGGTTAAAATGCCCCCTGGTGTTCACACCAACAACTCTAGGCACCACGTGACTCTCTTGTTTCTAACTATCAGGCATATTTTCCTTATTTTGTTATAACCCTTCTTTGTTGGGATAAATCTTGTAATTTGATGGCGATGCTGTTGCCTTTCTCCTCAAAGCCTGCAGCCATGTGGAGGACACTCTGGGCGCCATGACTGCAGGGAGCTGAGGGGAGCTGGCACCCACACCTGGGGGACAGCTACAGCCCTGGTCCCCTGACTGCTGCACCCACAGAGCTGACAGGGCTGTGTCAGTGGGAGACTCCTGTCCCTTCACACCCCTGACACTAGCTCTGCGGTTCCCTAGTGGTCTCAGTGCTGGAGGCAGGACACCTGCTAAGAACCCACAGGGAGGGCAGGAAGGGGTTTTACCAGAGAGGCCAGAGCATGGTCAGATGGATGGGGTTAGGTTCGGGAAACACAGAGCCTCTGGGGATGAGACTGCACACAGGTCACAGGGGAAATTAGGACTGAGGTCCCCGGGGACTTAGGGAAGCTGCTTGGGTGGAAGACATCCAACCAAATGCCTCACTCAGTGTCTCAGTCACTGTGCAGTCACTGCTGTGTGGAAGGTGCCAGCACCTACCTCTTTCAATATAACCCCCAGGGGACATTAGGGTGACTTTGGGGCTGGAAGACAGAGGAAGCTGATTTGCATGAAGCACATTCTCCTCTTAATGGGTCTGGGAGGCAAGAAAAGGTCCCAGGGACACCTCCTTCCACCCCAGGAGTCTGAGGAGGCCGTGTCCTGTGAGTGTCCCCACCATGGCCTGGACGGTGCTCCTGCTGGGACTCCTCACTTACAGCTCAGGTCAGAGGAAGGGACTCTGCACTTTTGGGGGATGCACCAAAGCGCAGTCTCAGGGTGATCTTGTCTCTTATAACAACACCCATGTCTTTTCTGTTGGTTTCAGGTGTGGATTCTCAGACTGTCGTCACCCAGGAGCCATCACTGTCTGTGTCTCCAGGAGGGACAGTCACACTCACCTGTGGCCTTAGCTCTGGCTCAGTGTCTAGTAGTAACTACCCCAACTGGTACCAGCAGACCCCAGGCCAGGCTCCCCGCACGCTCATCTATAGCACAAACAGCCGACCCTCTGGGGTCCCTGAGCGCTTCACTGGATCCATCTCTGGGAACAAAGCCGCCCTCACCATCACGGGGGCCCAGCCTGAGGACGAGGCCATTTATTACTGTGCTCTGTACACGGGTAGTTATCCTTACACAGTGATGTGACCTCATGGGGAAGTGCAACCAAAACCTCCTCCTGTGCTCAGAATGGCTCAGCTTTAGTGACAAGGAGAGAGAGGGTGGGAATGCTCAGCACACTGAGGGGAGGGGCTCCAGGGCCCCATTCCCATGTCCAGTGGCTCCTCTTCACGTGCTTCCTCCATCTCCCCAAGGGTGTGCCCACCCCGTGACCCTGGCAGAGTGGGCTTCCTGTCTTCCCCTCTGCCTAGAACCATGAGGGGGCAGAAAGCTGAGTGCAGACACATTAACCATCAGAGGGACTCAGAGCCACACTGGCCTTTGTAATCCTGCCTGTGTTCCAGGAGCTTTAACAAGTCATCCTCTCATGTACTGATTTCACACTATGTTTGCAGGAATGTTTTATTAGCATTTAAGTGAGAGTGTCACTGGGAGCTTGCAGGTGATGCTGGTCCCCTGACAAGGCCTGCTGGGTCAGAACTGTGTGTGAGCAAAATCTGTGTTTAAGCAAGTCACTTACACTTTTTTAGGAACACTAAAGTCTGAAAACTGCCTCTACCTTTATTATTATGAAATTGTTCCTGAACACTTTTGTTTGAACTTTACTCAAGTTAAATTTCAGGTCACAATCTTTCCTATATCAACCTTCCTAAATCTGGAACCTTCAGAAACAGGTTTAAAATCTCAGTTATCAGTGAAAACTGTGACTTGATTTCCTTTATTCTTGTTTTTAAATTGAAAACTGCAACCACAAGTTGAGAGGATTTCCATGACTTACATGAATATTGATGCTCTGAGACAACACCTGTTAGAAGTGCCTCCCAGGAACCCCTCCCAGCCCCTGGGTCCCCCCTTGGCACACGGACAGGTGAGGGGCCACAGGCGGGGTCTCCACACCAGGCTGCCTCGGGCGCCTGGCACTGGGCAGTGAGGAAAGATGCGGAGAAGGAAACTGTCCTTTTATTTACTGTTCTGACCTTTGTTAAAAAATTCTCAGAAAAACTTTAGTTCAAGTCAACACAGAATATATTTTAAAGAAAAAGTGTAATATCTAGCATGTTAGAAATATATGTAGTTATCTGTGATTGTTTTCTGTAGCACTTAGACATTAGAGATTCCTGGACAGGTCCTAAGAATCTAAAAAATATATATTGGGAATTTCATAAAATATAAATCCAACCTGCACTTTAGTTAATGTTGTCTCACCAATTTTAGCATCTCAGTTTGTAAAAATGACACTAGTTTATCAAGACCATAATGTTAGAAAAAATATGGGTGATAGTTATGGAAAAGTTTTATTTGCTAACATTTTGTCTGTAAGTGCAACATTTTCACAATGCTGAAAGTTTGTGAACACACACAGAGGAATGAAAACACACTCCCTTCTCCCCTGGGAGGGTGGAAGTCCAGGACCGACCCCCGGGCAGTGCAAGGCTCCTGGGCAGAGAGTCAGCCTTTCACATGCAAACCACGGCCACCTGTTCTATGTTCATGTTCATCTGTGCTCAGGAAAAAATATGAAAATATGAATCATGTTTACCAGGCACTTTTTTATATATAAATACTCTCTGCAGAACCAGAAAAGGAAAGGCTCTCATTCATGCAAGGGCTGAAAAAAAAATTAGGATTCCATTCCATGAGGATTTCAGGATTGAGTCCCTGTGAAGAGCCCCATTGTTCCCAGAGTCTCTTTAAGTATAAACTCCTGGCTGTGCAGCCAAAGCAACTCCATCTGGAACCCAACCTGCCATTTTGACTCCTGCTGCCCCTGCCCCCCCAGCAGGCACAAAGACTCTGTGATCCTCCCTGGTCTTTATCTGTCTCTACTCCAGCTCTGGTGACAGAGCTTGGCTCACCTGAGAGTGCCCCACTCTCAGATTAAAGACAAGTTCCTTTCCCAGCAGGTAGGCTCACCAGTTCAGAGAAACAGCACATAGTCTGGGGGTGGCAGTGGAAGGCACAGAGCAAATCCACGTGGTCCTGTCTCTGCCCGAGATGCACCTTGAGTGGGACCTCCCTTCCTGAGCTCCTGATGGAATGATGTTGTCAGTCTCCTTGTCTGGTCTCCTGGGCCAAGGAAATGTTACATACACTGGACCTAGTCAATCAAAGCAGAAGTAGACTTCAAATGTGAGAAGAAGAGGGCAGACTTCCTACGTAGTCAAACTGGGGGAACAGACTGGTTTGGAGTCCTTGGGTCCTTATTACCTCCGTGTAGACAGAGCAGATAGGTGCAGAGAACTCCATATTTCCAACAACTAATATACAGACAAAATGGGAGATAGAGAGATAGATAGATAGATAGATAGATAGATAGATAGATAGATAGACAAATGCTCCTAGAAGACCCTTTCCTTCTAGCAGAATAACCTGGTAATCAGATGCCCACTCAGAGAAAATCTTTGAGACTACACCCAGCCATTGCCCTCCCACGACCTACACCCCCATCCAGGGATGTCAGCCATAAGGGCCAGGGTGTGGGTCCCCATTCCCTCCCAGCACAAGCTGGCACTGTCCCTTTGCCACCTGGGACTGTGTGGGTGATTCAGGGAAGGCTCACTCCCTCCCATTAGAGATTCAACAAGCCTCAGCCAGGTAGGGCCAGTTGAAGCTGGTTAGCACTCCAGTTCTCCCACCCATGATTCTGGCCACCCAGCAGGGACCTGAACTTGAACCTCACCCCTCAGCAATGAGACTGGATGAGGGGTTACAGGCCAGAGCTAGTGTGCACTCCTGTGCCCCTTGCTTGTAACTGTGGGACCCAGTGAGGAGCTAAGCCTTGACAACCCAGTTGCATTCAGAGATCTGAGTAAGGGGTGGGGGGCAGGGGAGTGGGCCATGCAGGGACCCCCAACCCTCCTTGTGTCAGTGATGCCCGAGAGACCCAGTGGGGAACTGGGTGGCCAACGCACTGAGCACAGCAGCTCCCCTCCTTCCTGTGCTTCCCTCCCTGAGTCCACGGAGCCGGGCTGTGGGACTGACTCACTCTAACTTGAAGGGAACCAGCTGGTGACAGTCAGTGCCCCACTGTCCCCAGGAAGGTGTCAAAGCAGGGGAGTCAGTGCTCCAGCTTTGGTGGGGCCAAAGGGAGCTGAACACCCTCCCCTGACCTCTGCTGCAGCTCAGCAGGCAGGCGGCCTGATGGAAGACAGAGGAAAGGGGACTCAGGGGCCCCTGATGTGGTCTCCCAATGGCCTGGACCCTGTAAGAAATAACACTGGTCATACCCAGAACCAGGAAAATGAAAACTTGAAGACACCAAGAAAGTCTACTAAAACCAATACAGAAATTATTCAAATAATTAAATTATATGACAGTTTTCTTTGGGAATAGTCATAAAATCCATGTAACCAGCAGCTACAGACATTCTTGTAAGAAATGAAAAAGGAGAAACTCAAATAGCAGCAGACATGATAAAATGACACCAAATGGAAGTGTAGAAATAAGAAATAACAAAGATGAAATTTTATAAACCAGTAGAGGGACCAACGATACTTAAAGTTTATCAATTGTTTTATTTGTTTCTTATCTGTTTATAGATTGATTGATCATTGAAATGAAAACTGGGCTCCCATTCCTACTGCACAGCTCCCACCACTATGAGTAATCTGTGGAGGACGTCACCAGGGGGCGCTGTGGGTCTTCTCAGAGATGCAAGGCCTGAAACTGACCCAAATGGTTCTAATTCAATGGGCCTTGTGCCCACATTCATGGCCTCGGAGTGCCAGCAGGTGCTTCCTCTCAAGGGACAGACTCAGAGCTCACAACAAACCCAGCCTCCTCCTGAGAGTAGACCTATTAACTGGGCCCAGGACCCAGAATTGGATGGTGCTGTGGGCTCCTATTTGCATAATGTCCCAGCAAACACACCCCTGACCCAGGGACCTGAGGAGGAGATAAAGGGACACCCAGAGACCAGCCCCAGCCTGAGGCCAGGGGATTGGGAAAGTGCCCACCATGGCCTGGACTCCTCTCCTCCTGCTCCCCCTCCTCACCCTCTGCCCAGGTCTGTGGATGCTTCAGAGACCAGCCTTTGCAGGGATCCCTCTGCCTTTACTCTTCATTCCTGACATGTGACTGTTTTCATTTCAGGGTCCAGGTCTCAGGCTGAGGTGACTCAGGAGCCCTCCCTGACTGTGTCCCCAGGAGGGACAGTCACTCTCACCTGTGCCTCCAGCACTGGAGCCGTCAGCAGCAGTAACTATCCACACTGGTTCCAGCAAAAATCTGACCAAGCCCCCACCACACTGATTTATAATACAAACAATAAACTCTCCTGGACCCCTGCCCGGTTCTCAGGCTCCATCCTTGGAGGCAAAGCTGCCCTGACCCTGTCGGGGGCCCAGCCTGAGGACGAAGCTGACTACTACTGTATTCTGTGGCACAGTGACCATTGCCACAGTGTCATATGCAAAGGAGGAAGTAAGACATAAACTCTGGTTCAGCCACAGCTTTGTTTCTTCCTGTGGGTGCAAAGCTGAACAGAAGCCCTAGAAAATGTGTCTGGTGAGTGAAAGGTGTGAACCTCTGGATGTCAGAAGGCAGACCACCACCGAGACAGCCTTTGCCCCAACTCCTGCTGCTCATGCCCTTGGGTGACCCCTGCCTTGAGTGTGGGCTGCCCTGAGTGGGGACAGAGACAGAGGCTGTCAGGGGACAATGAGAAGGCATGAGCACATCCTGGCCAAGGCCCAGCAAGAGCTTGTTTGGCCTGCACTTGGACAGGGTGGTTGACAGACAAACCCTCAGTTGGAGAGCTCATCCAAACACTGTCACCTGGATGCAGAGAGCACAGGGACTTCCTGGAATGGGGACAGAGAAGGAAAAGAGTGCTCTGGAGATGTCACTCAGCAGGTCAGTGGGCGTCCCTGGGTCAGAGAGCTGCAAGGGCAGCAGCCCTGTGAGGACAGTGGTGGCCCCAGGGCTGGTCTCCTCAGTGGTGAGTGGGTGGGGAGCACAGGTGACAGGGTGTGCAATGCATTCGGCCTCTGATTGGCTGAGAATAATCTCTCCGGGTGCCATTCCCCTCAACTGGATGTATA